ATTAGTTTTATTAAGCTCCTCATATATATACAAAATGCAAGATCGGACCACTATATCATATAGCTGCCGTAGGAACGATCGGTCGAAAACTAAGTTTTTGTATGAAAAATCATTTTGTTTATCAAGATATCTTGACCAAACTCGGCATTATTTATTCGTTTTACTATGCTCCTCATATATATGCAAGATCCTATTAATATCTGACCACTTATCTTAAAGCTGCCATAGGAACGATCGGTCGAAAATTAAGTTTTTGTTTATCCAGTTATCTTGACCAGACTCGGCATTTATTAGTTTTACTATGCTCCTCATATAATTGCAAAATCCTATTAAGATCGGAACACTACACCAAATAGCTGCCACGGAAACGATCGGTCGAAAATTAAGTTTTTGTATGAAAACTCATTTTGTTTATCAAGATATCTTGGCCACACTCGGCATTTATTAGTTTTATTAAGCTCCTCATAAATATGCAAAATGCAAGATCGGACCACTATATCATATATCTGCCGTAGGAACGATCGGTCGAAAATTAAGTAATTGTATGAAAAAAGATTTTGTTTATCAAGTTATCTTGACAAAACTCGGCATTTATTAGTTTGACTATGCTCCTCATATATATGCAATATCTTATTAATATCGGACTACTATATCATATAGCTGACACAGGAATAATCAATTGAAAATTAAACTTTTGTATTTAAAAAAATTTGTTTATCAAGATATCTTGACCAAATTCGGCATTTAATAGTTTTACTATGCTCCTCATATATATGCAAAATGCAAGATCGGACCACTATATCATATAGCTGCCGTAGGAACGATCGGTCGAAAACTAAGTTTTTGTATAAAAAAACATTTTTTTTATCAAGATATCTTGACCAGACTCGGCATTTATTAGTTTTACAGAGCTTATCAAATATATGCAAAATCCTATTATTATCTGACCACTATATCATAAAGCTGCCATAGGAACGATCGGTCGAAAATTAAGTTTTTGTATAAAAAACATTTTGTTTATCAAGATATTTTGACCAGACTCTGGTGAAAAATCATTTTGTTTATAAAGATATCTTGGCCAAGCTCGGCATTTATTAGTTTTATTAAGCTCCTCATATATATACAAAATGCAAGATCGGACCACTATATCATATAGTTGCCGTAGGAACGATCGGTCGAAAACTAAGTTTTTGTATGAAAAATCATTTTGTTTATCAAGATATCTTGGCCACACTCGGCATTTATTAGTTTTATTAAGCTCCTCATATATATGCAAAATGCAAGATCGGACCACTATATCATATATCTGCCTTAGGAACGATCGGTCGAAAATTAAGTAATTGTATGAAAAAAGATTTTGTTTATCAAGTTATCTTGACAAAACTCGGCATTTATTAGTTTGACTATGCTCCTCATATATATGCAATATCTTATTAATATCGGACTACTATATCATATAGCTGACACAGGAATAATCAATTGAAAATTAAACTTTTGTATTTAAAAAAATTTGTTTATCAAGATATCTTGACCAAATTCGGCATTTAATAGTTTTACTATGCTCCTTATATATATGCAAAATGCAAGATCGGACCACTATATCATATAGCTGCCGTAGGAACGATCGGTCGAAAACTAAGTTTTTGTATGAAAAAACATTTTGTTTATCAAGATATCTTGACCAGACTCGGCATTTATTAGTTTTACAGAGCTTATCAAATATATGCAAAATCCTATTATTATCTGACCACTATATCATAAAGCTGCCATAGGAACGATCGGTCGAAAATTAAGTTTTTGTATAAAAAACATTTTGTTTATCAAGATATTTTGACCAGACTCTGGTGAAAAATCATTTTGTTTATAAAGATATCTTGGCCAAGCTCGGCATTTATTAGTTTTATTAAGCTCCTCATATATATACAAAATGCAAGATCGGACCACTATATCATATAGTTGCCGTAGGAAAGATCGGTCGAAAAGTAAGTTTTTGTATGAAAAAACTTTTTGTTTATCAAGATATCTTGACCAAACTCAGCATTTATTAGTTTTACTTTGTTCCTCATATAGAGGCAAAATTCTACTAAGATCGAACCTCTATGTCATATAGCTGCCATAGGAACGATTGGTCGAAAATAAAGTATTTGTATGACAAATCATTTTGTTTATCAAGATATCTTGACCAAACTCGGCAATTATTAGTTTTATTAAGCTCCTCATCTATATGCAAAATGCAAGATTTGACCAATATATCATATAGCTGCCGTAGGAACAATCGGTCGATAACTAAGTTTTTGTATGAAAAAACATTTTGTTTATCAAGATATCTTGACCACACTCGGCATTTATTAGTTTTACTAAGCTCCTCATATATATGCAAAATGCAAGATCGGAACACTATATAATATAGCTGCCACAGGAATTATCGGTCGAAAATAAAGCTTTTGTATTTAAAAACAATTGGTTTATCAAGATATCTTGACCAAATTCGGCATTTAATAGTTTTACTGTGCTCCTCATATATATGCAAAATCCTATTAAGATCGGACAACTATATCATATAGCTGCCATGGGAACGATCGGTCGAAAATAAAGTTTTTTCATGAAAAATCATTTTGCTTATCAAGATATCCGGCCAAACTCGGCATTTATTAGTTTTATTAAGCCCCTCATATAAAAGCAAAATGCAAGATCGGCCACTATATCATATAGCTGCCGTAGGAACGATCGGTCGAAAATTAAGTTTTTGTATGAAAAATCATTTTGTTTATCAAGATATCTTGACCAAACTCTGCATTATTTATTCGTTTTAATATGCTCCTCATATAGATGCAAGATCCTATTAATATCTGACCACTATATCTTAAAGCTGCCATAGGAACGATCGGTCGAAAATTAAGTTTTTGTATAAACATTTTGTTTATCCAGTTATCTTGACCAGACTCGGCATTTATTAGTTTTACTATGCTCCTCATATAATTGCAAAATCCTATTAAGATCGGAACACTACACCAAATAGCTGCCACGGAAACGATCGGTCGAAAATTAAGTTTTTGTATGAAAACTCATTTTGTTTATCAAGATATCTTGGCCACACTCGGCATTTATTAGTTTTATTAAGCTCCTCATAAATATGCAAAATGCAAGATCGGACCACTATATCATATATCTGCCTTAGGAACGATCGGTCGAAAATTAAGTATTTGTATGAAAAAAGATTTTGTTTATCAAGTTATCTTGACAAAACTCGGCATTTATTAGTTTTACTATGCTCCTCATATATATGCAATATCTTATTAATATCGGACTACTACATAATATAGCTGACACAGGAATAATCAATTGAAAATTAAACTTTTGTATTAAAAAAAATTTGTTTATCAAGATATCTTGACCAAATTCGGCATATAATAGTTTTACTATGCTCCTCATATATATGCATAATGCAGGATCGGACCACTATATCATATAGCTGCCGTAGGAACGATCGGTCGAAAACTAAGTTTTTGTATGAAAATAAATTTTGTTTATCAAGATATCTTGACCAAGCTCGGCATTTAAAAATTTAACATTTTTCCTCATATATAGGCAAAATTCTATTAAGATCGAACCAGTATGTCGTATAGCTGCCATAGGAAAGATCGGTCGAAAGTTAAGTTTTTGTATGACAAAACATTTTGTTTGTCAAGATATCTTGACCAAACTCGGCAGTTATTAGTTTTACTATGCTCATCATATGCAAAATCCTATTAAGATAGGACCACTATATCATATAGCTGCCATAGAAACGATCGGTCGAAAATTAAGTTTTGGTATGAAAAAACATTTTGTTTATCAAGACATCTTGACCAGACTCGGCATTTATTAGTTTTACAGAGCTCATCAAATATATGCAAAATCCTATTATTATCTGACCACTATATCATAAAGCTGCCATAGGAACGATCGGTCGAAAATTAAGTTTTTGTATAAAAAACATTTTGTTTATCAATATATTTTGACCAGACTCTGGTGAAAAATCATTTTGTTTATAAAGATATCTTGGCCAAGCTCGGCATTTATTAGTTTTATTAAGCTCCTCATATATATACAAAATGCAAGATCCGACCACTATATCATATATTTGCCGTAGGAACGATCGGTCGAAAACTAAGTTTTTGTATGAAAAATCAGTTTGTTTATCAAGATATCTTGACCAAACTCGGCATTATTTATTCGTTTTACTATGCTCCTCATATATATGCAAGATTCTATTAATATCTGACCACTTATCTTAAAGCTGCCATAGGAACGATCGGTCGAAAATTAAGTTTTTGTATAAACATTTTGTTTATCCAGTTATCTTGACCAGACTCGGCATTTATTAGTTTTAGTAAGCTCCTCATATATATGCAATATGCAAGATCGGAACACTATATCATATAGCTGCCACAGGAAAGATCGGTCGAAAATTAAGTTTTTGTATGAAAAATCATTTTGTTTATCAAGATATCTTGACCAGATTCGGCATTTACTAGTTTTACTATGCTCCTCATATATATGCAAAATCCTATTAAGATCGGAACACTATATCATATAGCTGCCATAGGAACGATCGGTCGAAAACTAAGTTTTTGTATGAATAAACATTTTGTTTATCAAGATATCTTGACTAAACTCGGCAGTTATTTGTTTTACTATACTCCTCATATATATGCAAAATCCTATATCATAAAGCTGCCATAGAAACGATCGGTCGAAAATTAAGTTTTTGTATAAAAAACATTTTCTTTATCAAGTTATCTCGACCAAACTCGGCATTTATTAGTTTTACTATGCTCCTCATATATATGCAAAATCCTATTAAGATCGGAACACTATATCATATAGCTGACATAGAAACGATCGGTCGAAAATTAAGTTTTTGTATGAAAAAACATATTGTTTATCAAGATACAATATTTATTTGTTGGCTGGCTCGAGGTCCGTGTTTGTTAAAACAAACAATGAAAACAATTTTATTTTAATTTTCTTCCGATATATTTCGGTTGCACATCGGCAAACCGTCTTCAGGGCACTAACACCAAGATACAAAAAACAATTAACAATTATAATACAATAAATTAAACATTATTTCGAACATTTTACATACATTATTTTACACGTCTGCGCTTTTTGACGTGGAGATTGTTACTGAGGTTGTTTGGCTGTTTAAGAGGTGTCTGTACAAGTGAGCGCAATTTTCTGTGTCTGTCTTGTAGTTTAGTCGTTTGTTGGTTGGTGTGTTAATTATGTGTAGCATTTCCAATGTGTGTCGCTTGTTATAAAGTTGTTCTTGTTGTAAGATTGTTGTTTCATCAAAATTTGGTGTGTGGTTGCTTTTTATACAATGGGTCATAAGTGCTGTTTTCTGTATATTATTTTGATGTCTTAGTTTTAAGTCCGATTTATGTTGACTAATCCTTGTTTTTAGCTTCGATTTTGTTGTACCTATGTAGACACTATTGCACTTGTTGTTGTTTTCCCCGCCACATGGTATTTGGTAAACGACGTTGCTTTTGTCGATCATCGGGATTTTCGACTTTATCTTGTTGAAGAATTTTTGTAATGTATTCGTCGGTTTGTGTGCTACTTTTATATCTTGTTTGTTATAACAGTCTGAGTTTGTGAGGCGTTCTGATAGTCGTGGTACATATATTAGTGATTTGTATATTTTAGCAGGTTCTGTTGGCTTTTTTCTTTCGATTTGTCGTCTTTTTAATAATTTTTTTGATTATATTTGGGGGAAGTCATTTTTGGTCAAGAGTTTTTTGATTTCATGTTCAATTTCTTTGTGGTATATTGTGTCCGATATTTTCATCATTCTATTCATACAGCCTAGTGCTGTATTGATTATCATACTCTTTGGGTGGTTTGAATTGAAGTTGAGTATTCGTCCGGAGGCTATGGGTTTCCTATACCACTTTATTTTGAGTGTGTTGTCCATTCTGCTTACAATAGAGTCTAAAAATGGTAATTTTCCGTCCTTTTCATATTCCATTGTAAATTTTATTTGTTTGTGGAAGGAATTCAATTCTTTTAGAATATTTTCCACGTCTATTTTGTTCGTTATGGCAAAAAGGTCATCTACATATTTGGTCAAGAGTCTTGGTTTTATTTTTAATTTATCTGTAATCTTGTCCAACAGTTCCTCCATTAATATATCTGCGATTACTGGGGAAGCCGGTGATCCCATTGGCATTCCTTTAAGTTGTGTGTATATTTTGTCTTCGTATTTGAAATATCTGTTTTCCTGTATGCAAAATCTAACTATGTCCATAAATAGTTGTTTCGGTATATTCGTGTGCTCTTCTAATTTGGTCCATTTTTGTCTTATTGTGTCAAGTGCTAATTCTATTGGTATGCTGGGAAATAAGGATACTACGTCAAAAGATACTAATGTTTCCTCTTCTCTAATCTGGGAGTTGTTGACTCTGTCTTTAAAATCTACCGCGTTCTTGATGTTGTACCTAGAGTCCATTGTCAGATTTTTTAATATTTGTATTATATATTTGCACAGCCCGTAAGATGGAGATCCGATTGAAGAATATATTGGTCTCAGTGGTGTTCCTTCCTTGTGTATTTTTGGTAGTCCATATATCCTCGGAGGTACCGCTGTTGTTGTAGTCATCTTATTTCTTTCGTCCTTTGAAATAAGACCCATCTTGAATAATTGTGCTACGAAGGTGTTATTCTTTGTCTGTAGTCTTGATGTCGGATCCAGTCTCAGTGTTCTATACGCGCATAAGTCGTCTAAAATATTTGTCATTTTATTTTTATATTCATCCTCATCCATTGCTACGGTTTTGTTGCCCTTATCCGACGATAGAATTTTAATATTTATATTTTCTTTCAGTAATTTTCGTGTCTGTTCCACTGTGTCCACTATTGTTCGATCCCTACTGTTTTGGTTGTTCTTGGTTTTATGCTCTTTGACTAACAAAGAGAATTTTGTGCGCGCCGACTCTTGTGTTTCCTTTTCTTTTATTGTTTGCACTAGCTCCTCACCGTCTGCGATGTATTTCAAGAGAGGAAAATCTCTCTTGCTGATTGGGAGAGCGAACTTCGGCCCTTTTGCGAGTAACGCTACGACGTTTGGCGGGAATTCTATTTTTGTTTTGTTTACAAACCACTCTCTTTGAGTGTTGTTGTCCGCTAAGGCTAGGTTCCGTTGATCTCGTAACTTATCGTGTTTCGTTTCTTGTCTTTTCTTGAGTGTTGTTGTTATTTTGTTTTCTATATTTCTCTCGCTCTCAAAAAACGCTTTTGCGTCATCTGTGGTCATCAGTTGTTCTATGTTTGTTTTTGCTTTTTCCATATGTTTTGTTTGTTCTTGTAATAGGTTGTGTTTGTGTTTTATAAGTAAGTTTAATATTTTGGTATGGTAAAAATGTGTGTGTCTAGTCAATGTTCTTGTTATGTCAGGGTGGGTTTTATTGTCAGTGGTCAAATACTGTGTCAAATTTTTGATGAAGTTAGGTATTAAATTTGATTTTCTACATTTTAACAAAAATTTTAAACTAGATTTAAGTTTAGTTAATTTTACCAGTGTTAGTTGGAATTTATTAATTGTTCTTTTCGAATCCTTGTATTTAGTTTTTATTTTTGCGTAGCTCATGTTGGTTGCTGTGCATACGGCGTGCCTTCCG